TATATTATAACAACCAGTTGATGTTGAGCTTGATTACATTGATGTGGTATTCTGTACCCACGAGTGAACTTTATTATTACCTGTTGTTTTTCTTTACACTGTATCTTTATAAGAGCCTTGATAGCTCAGTGTCCGGGCGCTCGCCTTTAATTCAATATACTCGAGCAACCTGAGTTCGATCCCCGGTGCCGGCACCAATGAAGTTTTTAACTTTAAGTGCTGACTTATCACGTGCTCCGCGGTGAAGGAAAACATCGTGAGGAAACCTGCATATTTTAGAAATAATAACAAAAAAAATATATTTCGAAAATATGTGAAGTCCGCCAATCCGCAGTGGGGCCGCGTGGTGGACTATGCCCTGATACCCTCTGTATAGAGGAGGCCTTTGCCCAGCAGTGGGACATGTATAGGCTGTTACTTTACTTTTTTTTTTTTTCTTTATACATGTATGAACGCAAGAAAACTTATTTAACATAACCTACAAAACAAGTTGTAATAAAATCAAATGAGATTCTGTAGCTATGTTGAAAGGAAGAAAATGGCAACAGATGTTTTTAAATTTATTTCGTTACGGTCTATACTTTTTAAGTTATGTAATTAACAATTTTCGAGATGTAAGGAGTAGTCCAGACGAAGTTTTGATTTCAAAATTCTTTTATCATTTTCACATTATTTTTTATCACTATACTTATCTATTACTACTATACTCGACGATTTATATTCAGTTAGTGGTTCGTAAAAGTTTGCAAACCAATAACTAACTATAAATCGTCATCTTTGTCCATCTATAACTAACTATATAAAATGGTGTATCGCATATGTTTAAATACATAAAAAAAGATAATAATCCTTATTTATTAAATTATATACATGCATTATTAAAGCTTACCAGTATGCGTAACGACAACAATGGCGCTTTTGTTTTGTTTTTAATTCCTGTCCTGTGACCGTAGACTCTGTTACGTTTTCGAAACTAAAACCTAAATTCGTAGTTCAGAAAATTAAACCTAAACTCACAACATTCGAACACTTATTTGACCGTGACCATGAACACTGCAAAATATTTAAATAACTTTAAAATAAACGCAACAAAATTTGTAAAATATGTTTATTTAAAAAGAAAAAAGATAATCGACATTGAAGCTTTAAAATATATTATTGCCCGTTCCCCGTAACCTGTTCTCTTACTTGAAATCAATGGTAATAATCAAAATAGAGTTGAAAAAATTACTAGAAACAAACAGGAAATTATTGTATTAAAATGTAAGATGCAAGATGCGCATTTTCTATAAGAAATTGGAAATAGTTAAATTCGCATTTCCTGTCCATTACTGTCTCACCCTTGGGAAAAAATGTACGATTACTCTCATCTTTTGGGCTAAATAAACTCAGTGGTTAATGCATAAACATAGTTATTGTTAGTTTAATCGAAAATATTCATTGGCATGGCGATATGGCCTTAATCATTAATCAACTTTATAATTATATCGGGTGATTACGGCGGCAATAGATTACTCTATAAGAAAACACGCTGTATGTTACTATCAGTATGCTAATTTATTAACTTTATTTCTGAGTACGTTTCAAAAAGGTTTTCTAATCATTCGACTGTATCCCAATTAATTAATCTTTTAAAATATGAACCTGTTTTCCCGCGTGTCAAAGTGAACCCTCCTTGCGAATAAACACCTAGATCCGGTTGTGAATCACACAAAAACTTGTCTCGTATGGGAATCGAACCCACGATCCCCGGCGCCGAAGCCCTTATACCGCCGAGTACCTTGGCAACTACGCCACGGAGTCATCTTCTGGATAACTGATAACAACTGGACCCGAAATAATTATCAAATATCTTTGTTTAATATAGAAGCATTACACTTACTTATTGATTGTAACAATTATTTTACTACCGTTTCGGAAAAGAAAAGAGGAATCAACTTTCTTTTACCATTATTCGAAAGTTAAACATGTTTACAATATATTGAAGTCCACTTGAAAGATCCTGGAATGATATCTAAGGCTAGCTCTCCAATTCGAAAGAGAATCGAACTCGCTACCCATGGTACTAAAGCTAGCTAATAAAATACCAAACAAATGCGCCAACCGTGTTAGAGCTGTATTGAGAGCGTCGTATGTATTTGGTTTTACCCCGCCCGCTTACAACACTTGCAATGCTTCTAGAGATAGATTAATAACATATCAAGATAAATCTTAATATGCTGATAAAAAATATTGATTGCCAAATAATCAGCTAATTGTAAAATTGAGAACGAGTATTGGGGGAGTGGGCGTGGTAGTGGGACGAGTGATGTTTCCTAACAAGAGGTTTTTGAAGTTATACTTCTTTAGGCGCGTTATGAAAAAAATTATGAAAGTGACATTTTAAGATGCGCGCATCACGGTAACACAAAAGTAACACCCTTGAAGCTGCCCGCTAAACCGCTTATTATAGATGGCAGCATAGTCTCAATCACATTCGCCCGTCAACAATCAGTTCTCAATAAAGAACGTAGATGGCGCTTTCATACTTTTATTATTTATATCCTTTTCCACTGTTTTTATTATTTTATTGTAATTAATTATTTGCATGTAATTAAAAACTATTTTAATGATGCCAAAAAAGAATAACATCTCACGCGCGTACATAAGTACACGCATCAATTTTTTAAGTTTCTTCTTTTATTTCTCCGATGGCTTCTCTTTCTTCAATTTAGCTTTACTTACGAAACTTACATATATAAACTCTCACTTGTTCTAAACGTAGCGGGGATAGACAGACGAAATCAAATGTTTTCGGTTTAATTAATCGGAGAAGACCAGCTGTTCTCATTTTTGATTTCCGTACTCAAAGGGTAAAACGGGACCCTATTACTAACACCGCTCTCTGTCAACGGGCTGTATCTCATGAAACGTGATAGTTAGACAGTTAAAAGTTTTACAGATGATGTATTTCTGTTGCCGCTATAACATTAAATTCTAAAAAATAGAATAAAACAAAAAATGTTTAACGAAGCTCCCATACAACAGACATGATTTTTTGCCGTTTTTATAGATAATGGTTAGGTTTTTTAAAATTAATTTTAGTCCTAATCTCCGCAATGGATATGAAACTTAAAATGTGTAGGTAAAATTGTCGCAATTTTATCCCCGATGCGAGGATTCGAATTATCGTCTACTGGAGTACGCGTCTAGACGCTCTAACCACTTAGCTAAGCGGTCGACATCCTTACACACACGATATAAAACACGCAAGAAACACCTACGTATTCTTCCGTTTTTCGTTAGACACGACACACTCAATTAAAATCAGAATATAGTAATCGGCTAGTAGGGCAACGACGTGTATACAGATTTTTTTTATGCGAAAAGTTGTCAAACGAGCAGACGGTTCACCTGATTTTAACTGAATACCGCCGCCCATGGACATCTGCCACACCTGAGGGTTACAGATGCGTTGACAATCTTTTGAAAATTGGGCTCCGGCTACCTCACTCACCAGACGAAACGCGAAACTATTATAATATGCATGTGCATAGTTATATAGACACAATGCTGTCTAGATTTCACTTATCTTATTTTGTGCTTTGTCGCCATACCACGGGCGAATGGTCAATAGATTTAATTAAAATTACGACCAGGTGAACCGCCTGCTAGCTTGTCAACTTTTCAATTAGAGAAGTACATATTTTTATTGAGAAAAAACAAAAGCGATTTGAAATATCTCGCCCTGTATTCATTTTATAACTGAATTTCAGGAGTGCCCTAATTACCTCCGGAACCCAAGATCCAATAAGAATTTTAATGAATTTAATATGGGACCACGTGGGAAGCACCAGTTTTCAAATAAAATCAAATGGAATCATCAAAATCGGTACACTAATCGGTACAGTTCTGAGGTAACAAAACATAAAAAAAAAAAACCTCCTCCTTTCTTGAAGTCGGTTAAAAAAAAAAACAGTGCTACACGCAATAATGCATTTTTTGGATCACTCACAAAACGTTAAACTGTTAACTAGGTTGTCACTTGTCACCATTTCTTAACATGCCATTAGGAAAACCTCTTATAATTAATTGTATACAAATGAATAAATCTAATAAGCAGAACTATCGTTGACTGGTTTGATATCTATAACCACAAAGGATTTCTGGGGTCTCCCGGAGGGTTAAGTTTATTTTATGTATAATCATATTATTGTGGACAGATATTATGGACTTCATCTTTCCACAAATCTTACCACCTCTTTCTCCCGCACGTCTATACATCTATGCATATGAGATATGATTTTATATCTCACATGACATGTTTTTCCTTACAAAATTATGTAATTCATATTCGCTAATTAACTCTCTGTAAAAAAACAATTATCATAACACAATAATTCTAATTTATTATTTTTTTTAATAAATAAAAATGTAAATCCAATATTTGCAACAAATCTATCTAGATTTCATATTATCTAATAATCTATCTATTGCTAGTCCTCTAGGCATGGTGGTTAGAACTTGGACAACAATTTGAACAATGAATGATGAAACTGAAAATGTGTTGATAAATTTTCCTGTTACTGGTGACAAAGCAAAACATTTTTCTACAATTTAACTACTCTGCACTTAAAATGATATTAAGTGTGTAGTTGTGTAGTAGTGTAGTGGACTAGCGATGGAAAAGCAAAATTAATTCTAAATTAACGACGAACCAAAATGGCACGGAGCGTTGCATTTGACGGAGGTGTTTTCGCGTCGTCACATTTAGCAAGCATCGCGCAGATGATCGCGTTACTAAGGGCCGGGAAATACTCCTGCATTCATTCGCTGCGTCAACACGGGGGGGTTTTACGCGGGACCTTGCGGGCTCGTCGGCGGCTTGAGAAACTTGTAGCGAAATATAAGCGAACGGCACCAGGCACCGGAGTATCATTGCAACAGTGAACATCGCATTGGTTAGTGCGCTGCTTTATTGAATTTCTTCAACATTTAACTGCCCTCTGCGACTGCCAGTTATGTACTCCCTCGGTAAGTTCCTTTTGATATCATTATACGCTGTTGTTACGATATTAAATCGGCTATTCATCGATGTAATGATCGCTCGCTTACAATATTTACATATCGAACCAAGATACATACATCGATAATTAGTAAGATTAAGGGCTATAGTAAAAATAATAATGATGAAAGAATTAAATCACCAAGCGTGTTAATGTCAAACCTCAACGTTACTGTTTTTTAATTTGAATATTTATTATTTCATTTTAAATAATCCTACAAGTAGATTTTAAAGAAATTATCAAAACACAAAATGTATTGCATTACAATAATTAAACAAAACTCTTAAAAAAAACTTTTTATTCGTATTTCAAATTGATTTAATTACTATTGGTTGGTACACTACTGAGTCGAACAGTACTAGAATTCGATTATGAACCTAAGCATTTTTATAATTTCATACATATATTTCTACAACTAATAAGTATAGTGATTTATAGTTTTTGCTTATAAGACTTACTAATCGCGGGCAGCAATTAGTAAGTCTTATAAGCCTCAATATGCTATTAAATCTCAGTAGACGTGGTAGCTGCCGGCACAAGAGAAATCGTTCTGCCAATCCACTATGGGAAGGCGTCGCTGACTCTTATCCATAACCCTCTATCTTTTGAGGCCTTTGCCCAGCAGTGGGGCACAGGCATACAATATTAAGTACAATGACGATACTACTACGTGTAATAACTACTAATAGTACTAAATACGTTACTAATTAAAGCCAACCAATCATGCTATCTACGTAATTTTTTTATTGCAACTAAGACCTTCATACAACAAGTTACGTTGGCCAACTTAGTCCGAAGTACTTACAAATTATTTATATATTAGCATACATAATGGTATAATTTAACACGAAGGTGGCCAGAGCATGATTGATGTGATGTATTTTGTATAGATAATAAAAGGAACTACTGAGCCAAGTATTTTTTTAATAATGAAAAGGTTCACACTCTTAAAAAAATTTAATTTAATTATCGGTAGCTTAGCTCAGTTGTTTGGTTGTAGCGTCTGGTCAGGTTACGATACGCAGATACCTCACAAAATAACGTAACCTTTTAACGTAACTTGATTGTAACATTTGCTATTTAGAACAATCGTGCTTTTAAGTTTATATATCTCTATTAGCGTTTTCCTGTTATTTCGTCTATTATTATCGCTCACGTAAGATTAATTGCTTAACAATAACTTGATTGCATTGTTATCAGGTGTTGTTCTGCTGGTCTGCGCGTACTTCTCCGTGGCGCGGGCTCTGCCGCCTTGCGTTTGCACGCGCGAGCGGAGGCCGGTTTGCGGCTCCGACGGAAGGACTTACAACAACCGATGCCTGCTGGACTGCGCGAGGTCTACGGACCCCAGCATTAGAATGGTGAGCGGCGGTAGCTGCGAGACTAGGGCGCCGGCGAACTGCATTTGCACGTTCGAGTTCAACCCCGTGTGCGGCACGGACGGCGAGACGTACCCGAACCAGTGCAGCTTGAGCTGTCGCCAAGCCCAGCAGCCGGGGCTGGCCGTGAGGAACAAGGGGCCGTGCGGGACTGGCCGCCAGATGGATAGCTGCGTGTGCACCCGCCTGCTGAGACCGGTCTGCGGCACCGACGGCGTCACCTACCCCAACCCGTGCATGCTGAACTGCGCGCGCGAATCCAACCCGGACCTTCAAGTACTGCGCGCGGAGCCCTGCGACGAGCTGAAGTCGGAGACCCCCAAGAAGCAGTTGTGCGCCTGCGCGAGGAATCTCGAACCCGTATGCGCCTCAAACGGTGTCACCTACAGCAACAGGTGCATGATGAAATGCGCGGGAAACCAGCTGACCATAAAGAGCTTCGGATCCTGCGATGAATCCTAATCTGTCAATACGATATGCACCTTAAGGTGCGCCGTTAAAGTACAAAAACAGTGAGGATTGCGTCATTTTATTGACGCAATCGATTTGGATGCCGACTGTCGGAGAGCGCTTGCCAAATTTACTTTTTTTTTTAAATTTATGTCTTTACATTAAGCAATAGCATTAACAGATCGAATGTGATACGAGAGAATGAGGTTGTTTTCTGTAAATAAATAATAGGCGTTGCAACAACTCATCGTGCCATCGCACAACATTTATAGAATTTCTGACGTAAATTAATGGTAATTTTATCCTTCAAAGTCATTGTCTGCAAATTGTGATATAGTTAAATGCCTAGGCCTCGAAGTTATGCAGCTATGTCGTTTAAAAAATTGTAACTGTAGTATGTAAAGCGACATTGCAATTGTATTGTACTGGTTGTATGTAGTGTTAATTGCTCGAATTCTTTTATTGTTAACAATGAGCTTTATGATAATTATTTAAACTAAGTTTCTGATATTATATTAAACATTTTTTATAAAATGGAAAAGTATTATTTAAAACATTGCCCCCAGTTTGCAAATCGAAACATAAGTATTTAACCAGTTTAATATACGCCTTAGTTTATAATTACTATTATCATCTTATAAATAATTGCACAACTGTACTTGGGGAACAGTAAACCAGAACCGACGAAAGGCAAGCCAGAATTAATCATTCATTAACGAGTTAAAGTGAAATTCAAAAAGAGAACTTTGTAACCTATTATTCGCATTTCGTATAAAAATAATTGTTTCATAACAACGCAAAGTGAAACTATTTTCTCAACATTATCAACTTCGCCAAGTTTGTAGCCAACAATAATAAAAATAAAAGCTGTTTTGTTAATTAAGCCCTTTCTAAACTACCCATAAATGACGTTATTAGATACCAGCAACTAAACAAAGAAAAATTGTTAAGACGTTGCGCTTAGATTCAATTATTATATTATCACCAGCGTCTTAGCAAACTGCACGTGAGCAGCATGCACTCTACAATGTACTATTTCAATCAACGTCCCTTATATTTACGTTTCATTTTTTTCTTACCTTTTTAAATTAATCTAACTCGCTTTCTAACATTTACAATATCCGTTGAATATCGTCATATTGTCCTAAAACGTTCTTTATATTGTAGAACAGAACAGAAGCGTTAAAGCGTCCGACTTTTTTGGTAAAGCCAACTTCCGCTTATAAAACATAATTTCAATGAAATTATGTTGACGTATGACAAACATGTGCGGACCTCTCCAATACGATACGGACATTCTGTCTAAGCGTAAATGTCGTCCGATGAGAATAAGTCTTCTTGGTATATATATATTTTAGAGAATGAAGAAGATTTATTTCTTGTACGCGCAAACCACATAATCTCTGTTAATTATGTACCAAGTTTTTAGTATAAATCAGTGCGCACAATCGGCGTGGTCGAAACGTACTCATTCATACGAATAACGACTTAATCGAAAGCGACGATATCGTACAAGAAATAAATCTACTTCTTTCTCCGCAATGTATAAAAAATCTGTACATATAGATCCATTACCTATATACGTACGTATATCTACAGTACCTATAATCCTAGGCATAAGAGTCTTTGCATTAGAGGATATGGGTAGAATTATCAATATTTACCAATCTTTATATATACAATTCTTCTGTACGTGTGTATGTCACTGAACTCCTCCTAAACGGCTGGACCGACTTTAATGAATTTTTTTGTGTGACTTTAGGTCGATTTGAGAATGGTTTAGAATTTAGATTAACAATTCGATCCACCACATTTTTTTATTCATAAGTTGGTGTCGGATTTAAGTCAGGATGTCTGTCGGGTTCGCTTGTATACAATAAGTTTTTGACTAACAAACTATGTATTGGTCTCTCTTTGGTCTGACTGTGGTTATGGTATTGGTCTCTCTTTGGTCTGACTGTGGTTATGGTATTGGTCTCTCTTTGGTCTGACTGTGGTTATGGTATTGGTCTCTCTTTGGTCTGACTGTGGTTATGGTATTGGTCTCTCTTTGGTCTGACATGAATATTAGTTGAAACACTTCGATGAGTCAGTCGTGTGACGTGACAGGGTCGGTCATGGCAGGTCACGTTACGCAAAGCGTTACTTCATAGTTATGTTTGTATTGAATGTTGAGAAGGCAAGCGTACCTGCGTCCGATCACATATGATGTCATCCGTGTGGGCGCGGCGTATAAGACAGATTTAGTCTCAAAGCAACACGGTCACACTGGTGTATATATAGTGAAATTTAATTTGTGGTAGTCTCTGTACGTATATGAAACTGAGGAACGCTGCCAGTATCTTCGGAACCTTGCCTAAAGGGACTCCTTATAATAATATATTTTAGTTATTATATTACTTTTTTTAAGGTTTTTAGTTTTAGGTTCATTGTTCTAGTATTATATATTTGGTATTAGTTTATCATTTGAATGATAAGTTTGTTTATTTTGATGATTACATTCCTAATAATGTGTTTTTTGTATGACAATGTCAATGTCCCGCGTATCCATCTATATTTCTAGCACAGTTGAAAGGTACCGCATGCTAAGGTATTATTAGCAGGATTTGCGGATCCTATTTAAACGTTTCTTTCATCGTTTTAAAGGTATAATATTCTAGATTGATATAGGATATATATTTTATACTTCTTTATGTAGTACTGTACTCTTTGACCATGAGGAGGAATACTAGTGGAGCATTAACTATAACAATTAATACACCTTGGCAAAGCCGGGGTTGGGTCTTTATTGTGATATATATTATGCATATGTATATATATAAATATATAAATATATATATATACATATATACATATATATCGCTAATTTTTTTATCATGTATATGTATAACCAACCGAGGAACGAAACCAACACACGATGTACAGTGTGTTGATTTCGTTCCTCGGTTGGCATTGTAAGGATTGGGCGTGGCGCAGTTGCCAAGCTATTGGCTTCGGCGTCGGGGGTCGTGGGTTCGATTCACATGGGGCAAGAATTTGTTTGACCCATGGATAATTACGGATCTGGGTATTTATTACCAAGGAGGGTAATTGTCAGGTACGTGGCCAGTCGTACAAAACCTGACCAATACCTTAACATCATGACTGACATGTTATGCCGACCCCAATTTAGGTTGGATAAGGGTAGGATAAAGAAAAAGACAGGAATGTTATTTGACACATTATAGAAGTTGGATAATAAGGGATATCAGTAATAAAATTTCTTATTTTCTGTTCCTTCTTTATTATGGTACAAAAATATTAAGCAAATACACTATAAATATACAAAAATTTTAAGTTACAATTTTTTTAAACATGAAAATTTTTATAAAAAAAAAAGTAAACTAAGGCTCACACACATAAAGAAGTACATAAATAATTAAGTTGTTAGCTGTTAACAAAAAGATGATATCTTTAATAATGTTAATAAGATGGTGAAAAGAGGTATGAATGGCAAAAAGTTTATGAATACAGATTATATTCGCAAAAAACGAGGAATATTTCTTCCGATTTAAGTTGGAATATTTACTAAAGGATGTTAAAAACAATTACAGTTTCTGGAAAAAATAGCCCATTGAACAAGAAACAAATAATGTTCATAGTGCAGACCAAAATTAATTGAGAAATATGAGCTGTAATAATTATACTAATATACATTTTCTTCGCTGAAGGCAGCTCTTAGAAATATTTAAAGTAAAATTTTACACAGTGCTATAGTATCAAGGAAACCAGCCCCAAATAACTTTAGTTCCCCCACAAGCATTGAGGACTTGAAATCATTTTTAAGTTTATGTAAAAGAGTATATAATATCAATAGTGTCCCTAACGCAAATCTTAATGACATAAAGTTAACAGCAAAATACTGATTCATCATATATTTGAAAGTGTCTTCTGTCTTATTCGTATATCGTCTGTACAGATTTCCACAAATCTATTCTACGAGTCGAATCGCCCGTCATAAATCCAAATTGGCCATTAGTTCGTCATCCTCGTCGTTTTCTAGGAAGGATTTCTCTATATCGTCGACTCTGAAATCCCCATCCATTGCGATGCAGGCAGCTGAAGTATCGGGTTTGGCGTTTTCGTCGTTTGCATCAGCGATTTGCGGTCGCAACGGAACCTTCCTTATGTTCGTACCGGGAATATAGTCGTTCCTGTTTTTGAAGCACTTAGGCGTCAAATAATGCGATATATTTTTGCTCTCCTGAAATTGCAGAGATGAGTGTCACCATCGTAATAGATGGGTCAATGGGTTATACTTCATTCTAAACACATACCAAAAGTTCTCATTGATAGAAAAGGGTAATATTTGATAGAAATAGTTTTAAATGCCGAGTGTTAAATACATATTATATCGAAATTATGATTAAAAGTATGCACTTCAGAATTAGGAATTCAGTCTCTTATAAAGTTCCCTTATGTAATCCATTTGGGAGTAATAAATTTTAATGAAGATTTCTTAAGCCATATCTGTCCACCCCTTCAGGGATAAACATGGATTGATAAAACTTAACAGCATAGTAGTTTGGTGAGCGTACGAATTTCGACATTTTCGTACTAAATGATATTGCTAACCATACACAGTACGACCAGGTTTAGTCATTTTAATGGTGACAGGATTGTTTAACGCTCAAAATAATTAAAGAAAAGTAAAGTAACAGCCCATAAATGTCCCATTGCTGGCCTTCTCTGTACACAGGCTAATGGTATAATCCACGACGCGACCCCACTGCGGATTATCAGACTTATCTTCTATCTATCTATCTATCTATTTCTTTGTTATTATTTAAAACATGCAGGTTTCCTCACGATGTTTTACTTCTGAGCACTGATTTATCACGCTTAAAATATCGTTGAATAACATTTAAAGTCATAAATTAAAATATTCCTGAGTAAAATGGAATGGATTGAATTATACAATTCGACAATATCCTACAACAAGCAATCTGGAGATTACATTAAAACAAAACACGACAGACCTGATGCGTCATAGTTGTATCCTCGAACGTCTCTCCGCTTAGACCGACATCGTTAAGCACCTGTGATAAAATTAGTAATCAGCGAAACGAATTACTTCTAATAATTATGTTGAAATTTATCAAAATGTTCAGACTTAAACAGTTATACAAAATTATGTTAAAAAAAAAAAACAATAGGTAAGTCGAGTCGAAGATGAGTCCATGTTAAAAAAAGTGCACTACAGTGCTAAACTACGTGATGGGTATTGGGGAGGTGGGGGTAAGTGGTAGGTGGTGATGGAAGAATGGAAGGTAGGGCCAGGTGGTGGATAGTAAAGTGTTAGATGGTCGCTTACGTTGAGCTTATCCTGGAGCAGGGGCCACATGTGGTCGTCGGCGGTGCCTTTGGCCAGCAGGTAACGGGCGCAGACAGAGCCCGCCACGCCCAGACGGTGCGCCCTGCTCTCCGCCTGCGTCAGCACCTGAACGCGAGCAGCAACACCACCAACTTGTCATACCACGCTAGGATATAAAGTAGTAAAGTAAAGTAACAGCCTATACATGTCCCACTGCTGGGCAAAGGCCTCCTCTATACAGAGGGTATCAGGGCATAGTCCACCACGCGGCCCCACTGCGGTTTGGCGGACTTCACATATTTTCGAAATACATTTTTTTTTTGTTTTTATTTCGAAAATATGCAGGTTTCCTCACGATGTTTTCCTTCACCGCGGAGCACGTGATAAGTCAGCACTTAAAGTTAAAAACTTCATTGGTGCCGGCACCGGGGATCGAACTCAGGTTGCTCGAGTATATATTGAATTAAGGCGAGAGCCCGGACACTGAGCTATCACGGCTCCACGCTAGGATATGCGCCCAGCTAACTCACTTACCAGACGAAAAGAACAAGGTATATAACTTCCACTTTACGCCGGTCTCCTGTGTGAGTAAAAGTCGACTACAAGGAGACCATGGGTCCAGAGTCTATACGATACAGTCGTTATCGGTCGGGTTAAAAAGAGAAAAGAGATAGAGAATTGTAGAGAGCCGAATCGAGGAGACAACGCAATCCCCTTACGTGACGATTTCTCTAACTCGAACCGATGGAACACCAAAAGAATGGTTGACAAGGTCGGCTCCGTGGCGCAGTTGCCAACGTATTGGCTTCGGCGTCGTGGGTTCGATTCCCACGCGGGACAATTATTTGTGTGAGCCACAGATAACTGTTTCGGATCTGGGTGTTTGTCCACGTCGAGCTTGTGTGTATAAAACCTCCTTATATCACAGGATAATGTTAAAAAATTAAAGAGAAAGCAATAAAACAAGACAAGGCTCACCCCAGGGTTCCAATGCAGCTCGGCGAAGAGCACGAGCCGCGCCGCGGTGAGGGTCAGGCCCGAGCTGGCTGCCGTCAGCGAGAGCACTGCGCAGCGGCAGCTCTCCTGCAGCTGGAAGCGCTCCACCAGCTCCTGGTGGGCCAGAGCACGCGTCGCAAATTAACTGTGGTAGGTGCTGGTGGAGAAAATATCACGTAAGGGAATTGCGTCATGCTTCCCTCGATTCGTTTCTCAACTGTTCTCTATCTAGTTTCGAAAAAAAAATCACGATCGCAGTTAAATAGTAAATAGATTATTATTATAATATAATGGATTATATATTGCATTAAGATGGAACATACGATGTACTATTAAGTTTAATTTTATAGTTTACATCTCAGGTTAGGTCAAGGATTAGCGCTGAAAATTAAAAATTAAATTCCAATAGCAAAGGCGACATCTCTACTTATCCAATAAAAGCAAAAAAGATAGTACGTCGTGTATTTGCTCCCCACCGCTGATTGGCTAGAGCGTCTGGACGGTGCAGGATCGAATCCCGACACAGAGGCGAAACAATTTTGCGACAGTTTTATCTACTCATTTATAAGTTTATACTTTTCTTTTATAAAAAAAATGTTGTGGACAACAAGACTAAGATCATCACACAATATTCCAGTAGGGGATCGAGCCCGCACCCTCTAGAACGGTAGATAACTTCACTAACCGCCGCGCCAATGGGGCTGCTTAAGGTAGTAGTACTCACGGCGCGAGTGTGCGTCGGGGTCGAACCCACTATGCTGACGTAGGGCGTGCCGGCTTCGTCCAGCGTGAGGCATATGGCGTCGATCACGTTCCTGTGGTGCGCGAACACGAGGAACTTGCCCGTCGACTCATCCCTCAGGAGCTGCTTGATGTATTTGCTGGGAATAACGCAAGTTAGCTATTCTGTACGGAAAAAATATGTAGCTGTGTAAATATGCTATAATACAGGGAGGCTTTTCTAGGTGCATCCATTTTTTTTTATTAAATTCTAGACATAAATAATGCTACATAAAAATGATAAATATTTAAAATCACTCTTTTTTTATGTGAAAAGTTGCCAAACGAGCAGACTGTTCACCTGATGTTAAGTGATACCACTAATACCACCACCCATGGACATCTGCTACACCCGAGGGTTCCAGATGCGTTGACAACCTTTTGAAAATTGGGCTCCGGACACCTCACTCACCAGACGAAACGCGAAAGTATTATACTTCCACTTTACGCCGGTCTTCTGTGATTTAAAATCACTCGTAATTAATTTATTACATTCATTTTAACTTATCTCGGAAAGTGGGTGATTTATGGGCATCGCATTTATTTTACGCGCGATCATTCATAACTAACACGCACACAAGTTCGTTTCAAAAGTATACGACGCATTTATGAATGACTACCGCATTTTCAAAGTTCTGTTTTTTAGGGATAGAATGGCCATTTTTTTTAATAAAAAAAAGTTTGTTTGAATTTCAAATAAACGATTATACTACTGAGTCTGAACCTCCTGTGTGAATTTGGGCACCTTTAGTAAAGCCACCCTGTATAGTGGTTCTATCTAATGGAACTTCGACTGTGCAATGTTGCAACGACAATTTCGAATGGTATTAAAAGATAAGACGGAAACACCGAGCGGATGATGCAGCAGAGCTTTTTAGGGTCCCATACCCAAAGGGTAAAACTGAGCCCTATTACCGACCATACAAAACAGGAAAGGTTATCCTAAAGTAAGGGCAATGGTAAAAAATAAAATAAAAACAAAAGTAAACAAAGTAAAGTACTTCAGGTAAGAATCAGGTCAGCTTCGCTATCTCATTGATTAGAAAATGCAGATGAAAATTGATTACGCCAAACCCAATGGATACAATAACTTCAGTGTGCACCGATCGTCCAAAGATAAACCGTCCCCCTCACTCACCAGACGGCGGGTATCTTGGCCCTGGCGGACTCGCTGAAGAAGGTGAGCAGGGCCGCGTGCCTCTCCGAGGATCTGGACCCCCGCAGGGTCTCCGCCATCTGCGAGAGGCCCTTGCGCTCCTCCTGGGTGAACTGCAGCAGCGACTGGTCCAGCAGCACCGACTCCCTGTCGGAGGTCATCCAAGGTCGGCGGCGTTGGGAGGGCCGAATCGTATTTTTTTTAAAACACTACCCTTGTACGGTGGTAGGGCCACGCAGCAGCCTTAGCTGTTGCACGTATGGGCAGGCCCGTCCGGGTAAGTACCACGACCTCACAGAAGACCGGCGTAAAGTGGGAGTATGGCAAATACTTTCGCGTTTCGTCTGGTGAGTGAGGTAGCCGGAGCCCAATTTTCAAAAGGTTGTCAACGCATCTATAATTCTCGGGTGTGGCAGATGTTCATGGGCGGCGGTATTTACTTAACATCAGGTGAAAAGTCTGCTCGTTTGACAACTTTTCACATAAAAAAAACTGCCCTTACTGAACGATAATATTATCGCGTGTTTTTTTTAATGAGAGAAGGTGGCAAACGAGCTGCCTGATCATCTTATGTTCACCCATGGACATTCGCAACGCCCGTAGGGTTGCAGATGCGTTGTAGATGCGATGATTGAGAGCAAAATAAGTTTTATAATTTTCTATCCAATTTCAACATCTGAGGTATATTACATGTTTCAGTACTATTGTCTTCTGAATTTTAAATTACCACATCAAAGATGTAGTGACGATAAGAAATGGCCAATTCAATCGGTAGTAACTTGCGACAGCCAATGCTTGGATAGTCTTGTGAGATAGTCGATGGAAAAACTTTAAGACACCCAGCCACACAGCCACACAAACACACAGACACACAGCTACACAGACCCACAGACTTAGCTGTGTTCTTAGTGTTCGGGCGCTCGTCTTTAACTCAATACTCGAGCACCCTGAGTTCGATCCGTGGGTGCCGACACCAATGGAATTGTTCATTTTAAGTGCTGACTTCATGTGCTCAACGGTGAAGGAAAACATCGCGAGGAAACCTGCATATTTTTGGAATATAAAAAAAAAAATATTTCGAAGATATGTGCAGTCCGCCAATCCGCAGTGGGGCCGCGTGGTGGTTCTGTGCCCTGATACCCTATGTACAGAGGAGGCCTTGCCCAGCAGTGGGACATGTATATACTGCACTTTACTTTCACGTCGAATAAGAGCGGAGGCCGATTGCTATAGGCCACGAGAGTTTCGATTATACAAGCGAATGAAAGTCATATTGACTGACCTCGTTTTGGCCCCCAATGATGTAAGGACCTGTTCCTTAGTCCGCCTGATGAGGAACTTCTTCCGCAGTATGATCTGCAGCTCCGTTAGGTTCGACTGCCCAGTCATGTCCCAACCGAAGTTTGTCTGTCTGCCAGCGCAATATCTCTTACCTGGTGTATAATAATAAGGTTTTACTGTCGAAATATAGTTTAGGCCTGTGCCTAAAAAATACTGTTAATTTACATCACTATTTTTTATCCATTTTTCAGGGTATACAAATATAATAAGTTTGCTAAAAGGTCATCATAAAAGAATATAAAAGTACTTTATAATCAAAATATGTAATAAAATTGAAACAAATACAGGGAGGCTATTCTAAGTGTCTCCATTATGGCGTATTTAAAAAGTGGAATCAACTATTTACAACAATTAAACTTATCTATTCATTAAGTCACAAAAACACTCGCTGATATTTTAACAATTGTTAAAAATGGAGTAATTTAAAATTACTTGTGTCTGAGCATTATATGCACCGGTGTAGAAAATTGTCCAAAATCTAATAACCTTTGGTTGGCTGCCAAAATCATCCTTCGATTAGGCACACTTGAGTTCATTGCCTGTCTTTGTATACGCGGTAAAGAATCACTTTCATAAAGACTGCGCACCACGTAAACTTTCACCACTTAAAATGTAGCACCGTACCATCTCGTAATACTCGCGTCTAATAACTGCGTCGTTGTTCCGACATCGTTAGAGAAAATAAATCGAAAAATAGCACGCGCTACCTTAATTATGTCACGGTTAAATTGAAACTAACGAAAGGCTAAGGGCAGCGGCCGCATAGAGCGGTCGCCGCGCGCGGGTGAAAGGGAATGGAACAAATAGGGATGAGGCGTATATACTGGAACAGGTATAAATACCCAGTATGAACATACCAGTACGCATACCGGGTATGTACGGCAGAGGCCCGTTCCATACCCGATAGGTATGGCCGCCTCGTCCGACGGTGGCGGTATCTAACGCTCGCGACAACCCGCCGGCCGAATAGGTACGAAGTTCCCCGAACGCTTACGGCGGCTCTTCTCGATCATGCCCGAATTGAAACGTATGATTTAGGCATTTTATACCAAATAATTCCTTGAGATAAATTTATTCTTTATTTCTATGACCATAAGTTAAATAAATAATTGCGTAATAAGGTTAAACAGTAATATTTATTTTGAATTACTTTTTTTTGATAATAGGGTTCTTTACGTTAGTAAAGATGGAGCTTATTTTAGACTGATTAAATCTCAATTTAAAAAAACTAATTGCTAAAAAAAAACATCTAAATGTTCCAATTCCAACCAAAGAAAGGTTCAATTCCATACCGGGTCTCCAAAAGGAGGCCTGAACATAACTAATACCTATAGGTATTTTGATACTGGGTTTTAGCACCGGGTATACGGCAATACCCGTACCTTTGAGGCCGGGTATAGAATGTATATCTCATGCCTAGGAACGAAGTTTTATGACGCAACGCTATGGACTCCGCCGTACCGGCACGGCTCTTCTCCGATTTATCGTGAGCGCTTAGTTTTGTTTGTGTGCGTGCACAGTAAAATTTAGGTATTTATGAATGACTACCCCATTGTCAACAAGATCTGTTTTATAGGAAATAGAATGGCAATTTTTTTTGAAAAAAAAAAACTTTGTTTTTTATTTCAATAAACGATTATACTAGAGAGTCTGAACCTCCTGTGTGAATTTGGGCACCTTTTGAAAACCCTCCCTGTATATTATTTCATAGACATGACGCGTGAAATCAGCAACAACCGGGGGACTTGCAAGTCAGAGTAAGAGTGGCTCAACTAAAAGACTCTACTACTGTATAAAGGCTAGTCCCTAGCCTTTATACAGTAGTAGAGAAGGAAGGCGCTGAACTGAATGTTTCAGCCCACCTTACATGGAGGAGAGGGGAATTAATCCCAGAGGGGGCTGCTGAGGCGGCCAGCGCTGAAGAGTGCGAAAGCATTCTTTTGGCCCTGCATCGGCAGACAGGCGCATATCGATGTGTGTCGTGTGTCGGTGCGAGTCCGACATTCAATTCAGCTCTTGCCCCCGCGAAGGCGGGCATGCGTAGGCATTTCCCCCTCACCCCCGAAAAAATGGCGGACGCACCGTACTCCGTGTAGGACGCGAAGAGCCCTGGCCTGATGAGCGCCAGCTGCGTGAACAGCTCCGCCGGGCGGCTGAGGGCCGGGGTGCCGCTCAGCAAAAGCACCCTGGACGCCCTCTTGGCCACCGCCCCCAGGGCGCCGGTGCAGCGGGCCCGTGAGGACTTCAGCTGGTGCGACTCGTCCTGTGAGCACAGGACAGAGTTTACACAAGACGGTAGCCAACTAGCCAACACGCGAGAAGAGTTTGTATAATATTGTAAACGCATAGCAAAAAATAACGCATAGTTAGTAAAAGTGAACAGTTTTACGGTGGTAGGGCCACGCGACAGCCCCGGCTGTTTCACGAATGGGCAGGCCCGTTCGGGTAAGTACCGTAATCGACCTCACAGAAGACCAGCGTTAATTGGAAGTATAAATACTTTCGCGTTTCGTCTGGTGAGTGAGGTAGCCAGGGCACAATTTTCAAAAGATTGCCGACGCATCTGCAACCTTCGGGTGTAGCAGATGTCCATGGGCGGCGTTATTCACTTACCGTCAGGTGAACCGTCTGCTCGTTTAGCAACTTTCACATAAAAAAAGTTGAAAAAATCCGCCCAAGTGCGAGTCTACAATTTTACCTGCACTTTTTAAGTTTCATATCCAGTGCGGGACTAAAATTATTTAAAAATAGCGGCCAAGTGCGAGTCTCACTCGCGCACAAAGGGTTCTGTACCGTTATCTATAAAAACGGCAAAGAAAATTATGTCTGTTGTATGGGAGCTTCACATAAATATTATTTTCTTTCTGTTTTCAAGTATTTCTTAGTAATAGAGTCCCGTTTTACCCTACATCGGAAACCGGTAATTTCATCTTGAATGGAAGTAGCGCAAAAAGTAAAAAAGTTGTTTACTATGTGGTGCTGAATAAAAATGAAATAGGTATAACATAAGAAACTACTAACACATACATATGCAGGGTTTTCTCGCGATGTCAAATCTAAATTCCATAAGTTTGAACAGGGCAGCTAACTACTTGTTAAATGTTGAAATTGCTAACTATATTAAAACTTGTAGAAAAAGTACGAAAAGATTGTCGCCGCTGTGGGAATCGTCCCCACGTCTTCGGCATTCGCGGCCTGACGCTTTAGCCACTAAGCTAAACGGCTGATTGCCACACCGACGAAAATCTTAAGGTCTTTTATCTTTATTGTTTTTTAGCAATAGGGTTTTTTAACACCATCGCCTATGGCTTTCGTAAATGGCTATTGTTATTAGAAATACTTCCAGTGAATTTCCAACAACATTGTACAACTCACAACAATAACAACTCCAAACTTTTTATCCTTCAAAACATCTGTGTGCATGCTTGTGATCTTATAGCTTACTATCACCACCTCGGTCTGAAACAATACATTAATATTAATAAATAAGTAGATTTAAATGTTCCAACTTTATCTCATAAAGTTCTTTTTTAAACAACAATAATTTAAAAATTTCCTAATACTGAAAAGACTAAAGCCAGAAACTGGAAGTATTATTAATCAAGAAAGAGTTTTTTACTGGTTGGCAATTTCAAGCCATTAGAGCCGCCATGGGTGGCTGTAATCGCTTAACATCTGGTAACGATGGCTTGCTTGCCTACTTAATTATTTTGCAAATAATTGTAATTTAATTGTATTTCAAATAAAAACTATATTTAACAATTTTTTTCAAATTATCGAACAAATTGGACATTCAGCTGTTATTATATTGTATTATTTCGTTAAGGACACACAAGTTTATATTTAACAGCTGTACCTGACGGTCTGCTACTAACTGAGTGTCCTTACTACTGCTAAGGGTTGCAATATTCATCATTGGAACAGATGGTAGTAGTTCATGGATTTTGCTCTGCCATGTCTCCCTGTCAAGCAAAATAGGTTTTATAATTTTCTATCCAATTAAGAAACAATTTCAACATCTGAGGTACATTATATGTTTCAGTACTATTGTCTTCGGACAGATAAATTACCTCATAGAAGATGTTGTGACGATAAGCAATGGCCAATTCAATCTGTAGTAACTTGCGACAGCCAAGGCTTGGAAGGTCTTGCCAAGTCCCATGTCATCGGCAATCATACATCTACCGCCATGAGCTATGGCAAATCTAAAAGTAATATTAATTATCAGTTTAGTTCAATTGACAATAATGTAAAGTAAAAGTAGTAAAGTAACAGCCTATACATGTCCCACTGCTGGGCAAAGGCCTCCTCTATACAGAGGGTATCAGGGCATAGTCCACCACGCGGCCCCACTGCGGATTGGCGGACTTCACATATCTTCGAAACACCGCGGAGCACGTGACAATTCAGCACTTAAGGTTAAAAACTTCATTGGTGCCGGCACCGGGGATCGAACTCAGGTTGCTCGAGTATATATTGAATTAAAGGCGAGCGCCCGGACACTGAGCTATCACGGCTCGAATGACAATAATGACAGATATTCAATTGACATCATAGGCAATAAACCGGTGGCGCCGTTGTTAAGCTATTGGCTACGGCATCGGGAGTCGTGGGTTCGATTCCCACACGGAACAAGTATTTGAGTGAGCCACAAATATCGTGATTCGATCTGGGTGATTGTTTTTCAATACTGCTAACACCATGATTCACATTTTGTGCTGGCCCCACCTAGTTGGGATAAGGGCAGAAGGATGATGATAATTATGGGCAATATGCCATAAAAACCTAGATACTTATAAAAGTCAGTATAGATATATACACAACCTGACCCCTTGCTCCTGAAAGGGCATAAGTTGGTTCCTTAGAGTTGGTTCTATAGGAGTTATATCAATACTATTTGGATCAACCTGCTGTTCTTTGAGGACCTAAAAATACATAAAAGACAATAGCATATTTTACTAATAATAAAATAGAATATTTTTTTAACAGAACAATAATATGACAAAATATTAAAATAGAAGTCAATGAACTGATGGCAGTAGGGCATATGAAGCTAAAGATTTAGCTATTAAAATCTCGAGGTGAATTTAAGCTTAAAGAGTGTTGGCACAATTGATTCAAATAAAAAAAACATAAAAACATACCTTAAGCACATATGAGGGTAATGCACCAAGAACGACATGTGGAGCTAAGGGTGTAATTTTAGTCATAAGTTCCTCATAGTCATCAATTGAAAAATTCCACAACTTAGTATTGGCATCTGCAAAGATAATGTTTTTTCCTACATATGGTTAACCCATCAAGTATGATAATTTCTTCACTTTGCCTTTGCACTTTACTAATATTTAATGTTGATATACACATAAATGAATAAATATAAATCAACACAATAAGTCATACTAGACCAGCAGCTACTGTATCATTATGAAATATTAATTTAAGTAAGTACTTCACTTTCCCTTTATTTACTACACATATCAATTTAGATAGGAGGTTAAGGCTAAGCCTTAACCTTCTAATCTAATCTATCGGTGTCGAATTGCTCTGTGTCGGATTTGTGACTCATAAAATTTTTCAAAAAATTTTTTTACATTCGATATGAGTTTGATGTTGCTCGTTCCTATATTACATTTATCACATTGGCATACTGTGTATTGACTTTTTGAAGTCAAATTAGTAAAACTCAGAAAGTCCACCACTTTATCAGGGAAAATAACAAGTTTTAAATAATTTTTTCTCAAAAACTATGCGTTTCTGCATGTTGAAACTTGCGTGTGTGCTTATATTAATGTGACCTTTCTGTAAAAAAATATCAACTCGTAACTCGACAGATGTCAATGGAAAATTGAGCTGATAGGCTGTGTAGAGAGCTGGTAGCGGGATGTGTATACAGCGTGTCGTTACCATCGCGACAATAAATGAACACACATATAGGGGATAACTTTTTAAAGTTGTATTAAACATTTCAATTCTTTAAACATCAATATTTACAGAGTTATAAAATTTTCCAAAACAAAGAATTTTAGAACACCCTTACCTATAAAAGCATAACGTAAAGTTCATTTGTAAAGGTCACAAAGCATATGAATGGGTTGAATGAATTTAAAAGAGACAAAAAACATAATGTTAGAAGGAGAGGCTTGTATTGCGACGCTGTGGCGCGAGTTGTATAGCATGTTACAAAATTTTGTTTCTTTTTTACTTAATTAGTTTGTTTGAAAAATATTTATTTTTAATTATGGATTTTGTTTAATGTTAATATTTTTTTATGATTATTGGCAAGTAGCGTTAGACGTGTGTTCATTTATTGTCATGATGGTAACAACATGCTGTATATATATGCGTGAATGTAACCCAACCCAAAAGAAACACAGTCTTAACAGAACAGCATATAATGAAACTTATTTTCCTTTTGTGTTTTAACTGGAAAGAGAGAGTAAGGGTCTATAATATTCAATTTTAATCTCCTAACTAGTAATTTGGCTGCAATAAATAAATTTGAAAAGGCCAGCAGTCTTATGAAACAAAAAGTGGCAAACGCGCGAGTAGTACACTTACTACTCGCGCGTTTGCCACTTTTTTTTTAAATAAAAAAAAACTTTGGACTACTAATAACTTTTTGTGACTTACCATAACTTCTGGATGTTATAGATTTGAAAATGTTAATGAGTGGTGGACAAAATTCTGATGGGTTTACTTCAAATCTGTCTTCGGAAATCAAATATATTGTCCCACTTACAACTTTAGTGATCGGAATATTTTCTGCATAATTAGTGTCCGGTCTTTTGTAAGGATGGAATAAATTACGTTGCTCGTTGTTTAAGTTTGGACTTAAGCGTAAATTATTAGAGGAAAAAGGACTTGAAGGTTTTAAATGGGAATTTCCAATAATTTCAGAGTGACCACTGGATGTGAATACTTTATTTTGCCTCTTCTGTAATGCTGCTAAACGTTTTTTCTCAATTTCTTCTTTGGAACATGACATTTCGTTAATTATTTCTTATAAATTTCCAGTAATTTCTTTATATATTCCTAAGAGTCAATAATTATCTAGTTTAAAAACAATTATAAATGATCAAAATCATTATTCATTTTCACAACAACAATGTTCTATTTAAAATCGGATTTGACATTTGTATGTTGATGTTGACGAAATAAATAATAAACTAAATTAATGTTACCAACTCTCACAAATAATTTGTCCCTAAAGTTTAAATGAAAAACCCCAAATAAAATAATATTATTAAAAAAATTATAAATAATAAATAGCGCAAAGATTTTTGCCTTAATTTTCAATTGAATGGAATAATACAGTGAAGGAAATTGAAGCGAAAATGTTGGTCTTCTGAAAAGTATTTAAACAAAAATTGTAGAAAATATTTTTAAAAAAATTTCTCTTATGATTTCTTTAGACAACCAACATTTTTACCGTAATGCCAAAAATGTGATTCTTAATGAAGATAACAAAATTTAATTACTTTTAGCGCTTTATTTTAATCCAGATTTACATTGGTCAAGGACAGTGGCGAATAGCGATAGCTAAGATGGATACGCGAACGTAAAATATCTTGATATTAAAATACATAGTTTCGAAATCAGATGTTGGAAACCGAAATGTGATTCAGATATGATTCTCAGAAAAAGTGATACGACCCACCTCTTCAAGGTAGCTTGCAAGCCAAGTTGACTTGCCACTATCTGACGGTTTCACAACTCGCTGTACTTACCTAATTTACTAAGCACTTGACCAATGTAAATCGGGCTTAAAATTTATCCTACAATGCCGCTATTGAATGCGTTTTGACGGACACTTTTCATCTCTACCCTCCATATTTCAACTCTCTTAGTAATGAAAAACCGTACTAGATGCCGCTAGTTCAATAAATAAATAATATGATTACCCAATTAAGGTTGCGTTATTCCGAGCCCTTTATTTTTCTTAAATTAAGAAAATAACAGGAAAAAGTAGAATAAAATATAAGAAGTCAAAATCCCTAAAATAACACTTGCTTGTGATGTGAAACCATCACAACCAATGATTTTAAGACATTCTTTTTCGGCATACGCAATTTACGCAAAATTACGCAATACAGCATTATAATAGGATGTATAATCAATATTTCACAGCATGTCGTCTCCAATCGCGTCAGAATAGGCAATACGAGTTGCCTAATGTCTTCAGTTAGTGACACTTTCGCTTAACTGTGGTCGTCGAGTTGCGCCCACATGGCACTTCGACCTGTTTTCTCTATTCCGTGGCGCATCACTATTCCTCGTGTCGATGAAATTCAAAATTGGCTTGCTTGCTGTCTGAAAATCCATATCTTGATAGTCGTAATTTTATTGACAGGTGTCACGCATATCAAGCTATATAATCTATTCTCTAGTCTATGTATATTGGTTTTGATCTGTCTCCAACTTTCTTGCCGTAGGCCAATTCAGATATATAAAAGTACTCTTTGCCATAGGCTTTTTGTAACTTCTTTTAGTTAACCGACAGTGGACTTTGACATTTTCATTATAAATTCAGCTTAATTAACAGTGGAGCTATTCGACCTTGCTTTCTCTTTTGGCACAAATTATTTATTTTATTAATCTAAGGCAAAAATGTCTGAAAAAAGCAGTCCCGTAAAATATTTCCTAAGTGGTGGTTTTGGTGGAGTTTGTACTGTATTAGCAGGCCATCCTATGGATACGATAAAAGTAAGATTACAAACAATGCCGCTTCCTGAACCAGGAAAAACGGCAATCTATACTGGTACATGGGACTGTTGTAAAAAGACAATACAACGTGAAGGTTTTCGAGGACTTTACAAAGGAATGTCGGCGCCTTTAACAGGAGTGGCACCTATTTTTGCAATCAGCTTTTTTGGTTTTGGCTTAGGGAAAAAGTTAATTAAATCAGATGATAATCAAGTTCTGACAAAACCAGAACTATTTGCTGCAGGCGCATTCTCTGGCGTCTTTACAACTTCTATAATGGCGCCAGGTGAAAGGATTAAATGTCTACTCCAAATTCAACAAGGTGGTAATGCACCACAGAAGTACGCAGGCATGGTCGACTGCGCCAGGCAGTTATATGCAGAGGGTGGAATAAGGAGTATTTATAAAGGCAGTGTGGCCACAATATTGAGAGATGTACCAGCAAGTGGTATGTATTTTATGACATATGAATGGGTGAAAGAGGTTCTCGTTCCAGAGGATGCAAGCAATAAACTGAAGATGATAGCCACAATAATAGCAGGTGGTTGTGCTGGTATAGCTAACTGGCTAGTGGGCATGCCAGCCGATGTACTCAAGAGTAGGCTTCAAACTGCTCCAGAAGGAACATATCCTAATGGTATGAGAGATGTCTTCAAACAATTAATGGAGAAAGAAGGTCCATTAGCTTTATATAAAGGTGTTACACCTGTTATGATAAGAGCTTTTCCAGCAAATGCTGCATGCTTTGTTGGATTTGAATTTGCTGTGAAGTTCCTAGACTGGGTTGCTCCAAACCTTTGATACTGCCAAATAATTGAATATACATATGTATGTATATATTCATGACATTGTTAGTTGCTCTAAGTTTAAAATGGATTTTAAACATTTGCCATTATTATTAGTTAATATCTGATTACAATTTTGTTATGACAATTTTCTAGCTTGTAAATAAATAACTTCATTATTTTATACATGTTATGTAAAATACTGTATATTTTAAAACAAAACAAAAATATATTCCTTATGGTTGTACTATATAAATCATTAGAAATTGTTTTTAAGTTGTTATTTTACTTAATTTAGAGTGCTGTAGCAGTTTACATTTTACACATAATAGGAAGTTTTTAAACTTGTTGAGTGCCTTTAAATAAAGTACTATTTTATCACTATTTGTTTTTATGATTAAATTTAAACCTAAAAATTAAAATGCAGTTATTTCCATATTTTTAATTAAATCACACAAGCTCAAATATAAGGTTAATTAAAAATGTAAGTAGTAGCATTATCCCTTGCTGCTGCATATTATAATGGTTCAAAAGCTATTTGTCATAGAATCTATGCTTCATATCATTACATAAAAGTTTTCACTCAGACATGCGTCAGATATTGCGTAATTAAAGTTTTTTTAGTAAGCATGACTATGAACACACAAGCTTTATTAATAAAATTCTCTTCTGAAATTAATTTCTAACTGCCTGTGTCTATTGTAATTGTTCTTTTTAAAATTTGTTAACTTTGACTTTTCTTCTTTCAAAACTCTTTGTATTTTCTTCTTTTCATGTCCAAGACCAGACTTGTCTAATTTCTGAACAGCCTTAATAGGATATTTTTTTCCAGACCCATCTGGACCCAATCCTGTCTCTTTGTTCCAGCCCCCCTTTAACAATATTTGATAACCTTTATTTGACTCCGGTATGGCATAATTAGGTGGAATTTTTTTACCTTTGCTTGCATTTAGGTTATGTAAAGTAGAGGACAGATGTTGCTGTTTATCTGAAAATTTCTTGTTATCACAAATAATACAAATGTACTCCTCAGTTGCAGTTTTCTCTTGTGTTTGCAATGGTGTTTTCATATCTTGCTCTACAGATCTGTGTTTTAGAAGGATGTCTGCTATGATAATGTTTCTATTTTTTATAACTAAACTATAGGCAGAATTACCTGCTTTATCTCTCACAGATGTGTCAATCCCACGTTCAAGAAGCTCTTTAACTATTTCCACAGCATCTGCCTGACACGCTATCATAAGTAAGCTCCAACCATAAGTGTCTAATATATTTAATTTATCAGGATATGCATTTAATATACATAATAACTTACTAATATCATTGTTTTGTACTGAAAGAAATAATTCCTTTTCACAAAAATGTGTTTTATTTTCACTTGTTTTCCTTTTTTTATGTTTTCTTTTATCAAAAATAACACTTTCGCTTGCAACTGGTTGTGGGTCCTTGGCTTCTTTTACTTCTTCTAGATATAATTTACTTGCTTCTGTTCCACTTAGAGGTGCGTTTTTAAAAGCGGGTCTAGATTCTCTTAGAGCACCTGGCCTCACAAAATTCAGATAATCTTTTCTGATCATTTTTTATCGATATCATTTTAAACACCTACACATTTGTGATACTTATGAATTGGAACAATAGAAATCAAAAAAATGGCAAAATAACATTGGTCTAATCAAAGTCGACATTTAACTTGACAAATGACAAATAAAATAAGTGAATTTGACGTTTGGATATGATGACATAGTTTTTTTTAAATTTATTTATGACCAAGAATATAAAATTAAAAACGACATACACAAAACATAAATCCTATTTTTTCTATATTATATACATAAGTTGTTACAGTACAGTGCTACAAGAAAAATTGACTCTTGCTTAGGAGAGTGAAAGAAACGGCGTGGGTTGAAATTAAGGGTTGCCAGTTTATATATATGTTACGCTGGCTCCTCGCCCGAATCATTTCGCTGGGTCGGAAGTTTTAAATCAAGGAGATAGCTTTCAGAGAAGAGCAAAGCCCAAACCCACGGTTTAGACCTGTATAAGGGCATCGTCCATAATAAAACCCCATGAGGTGGCATAGGCTTTTGACAGCTTCCAGCTCTATAAGACCGGAGGGGAGGATCTTTCCCGCATTATTCAAAAAGGTAAACACTTCATCATTGAAACTGTAAAAAACCCAAGCCAAATGTTCAATGCCAGCTTGGCTTGGGGATATGTACTGCTAGTTATAGACTAGGGCCCGAATGAGTTACATCCTCAAAAATAGGGATAAAGGTGTTTTAAAGTTTTATCCTTAAATCTTTAAATCAATAAGTGTTCATTCAAATTCATTATACTTTAGAAAACAATTAAGAAAGTGATTTATTTACACCCCAGGTTACCTTCGCATAATACCCCTGCATGTCGGACAGCATGTTTATCGAAAAGGTAAATCAACTGAAACAGCCCTTGTGGAGCTTGCGGACCAACTAGAATAGGCACTTAACAAAGAAGTGGCCCTCTGCGCTTTTCTTGATATAAAGGGAGCTTTTGAAAAAATCTCTATTGACATCATACTTAGATGTATGGAAGAAAGAGGCATTGATGCGACTTGATAGCCTGATTGAAGGAACTTAATTTAGCAGGCTTGTACACGCAGAGATATGCCGATGACTTTGTCATAACCATTGGGGGGTAATTGCCCTAATGCTGTTTCAATTTTTAAGCAAAATGCTCTGAGGATGATTGTACGGTGGTGCTTAGATAAAAAACTATGTGTAAATGCCACTAAAACCGTATTACGTTTGTGCCCCACCCTCTTCAACAAACCTTAGTCATATGACACACCTACGTTTTGCAGGCTAGTTAGATCAAGGTGAGGTCTGAAGGCCAGGGCATGCACTGTGGATATACACAGCCACAATAAGAGCTATGGTAACGTAAATGGTGTAATGGTGCAAGGAGACCCTCACCGGTAGGGCAACGCAACTGTTTTCGCTTTTGCAGGAATGGATAGATAGCTCCATCCGGGTAAGTACCGCGACTTCTCAAAAGACCGGCGTGAAGTGCTATACTTCTGAGTTTCGTCTGGTGAGTGAGGTAGCTGGGGCCCACTTTGTTATAGGGTGGTAACGCATATGCAATCCTCGGGCGTTGCAAGTGGCAATGGGCGGCGGTTATCACTCAAAACCAGGTGAAACGCCAGTTCGCTTCCACTTTCTCACATTAACAAATTAACACAACTTACGTTGCCTCACTTAATCCTGCAAAGATAAGCCTCTGATTATCATAGGAGACATCTAATCCACACCAACTTTGGCCATGGAGGCGGTGCTTAACATTGCACTATTCCACATTCACGTGTAGAAAGAAGTTAAAACAGCTATTATTTGTTCACTGGTGGCGGGTAGGCATGACGCAGAAATGTTAAGTGTGTTATATTTGGATGTGTTTTATGATGTGTGATTCAGTGTTAACCCGGCTTTGACAGCTTCGGCGGAAGAGGTCTGCAAGCTGACGACCCGCGGGTTAAGAAGTGAGAACGTAGCTGGTGCACGACAACTCGAAGACGCCATCTGCTCCGCTGCAGTCCACAACACCATACTATGTATAACACGTTACGTACGACACGATCCAAAGATCCGTGGCTTGGATAGCATTAGATAGTGAGACCTAACGACTAAGGTTAAAATTGTTAATAAATCATTAGACATACCGACGTCGAACTGTCACTGACGATCAATTATATTGGTTTATAATATTTTCTTCTTCAAGAATTTGGTAATTTGCTTTTACACTATTAATAAAAGAATTAATCAAGTCACTCTCCCTGATTAGGTACTTTCCATAAGTACTCATAGAATAGGACTAAGGTCACTAAGGTATCCCCTGCCTGTCATAAGGGCAACTAAAAGGGGACACAGACTGGCAGCAGTTCAAAGTGGTATCGAGCTGTTGCATCATGGTGAGGGAATTGGGGGAAGCATCATTCTTCTCAGAGGTTTGCAGTACTTGTTGTAAGAGACACCGGTTATCTGTAGGTGATCCCGGAGTAGGGTTTTAGTGGGTACAAACCCCACAACCCCGTCATGTGAAGGGATGACAGGGTATATTTTAAAGATTTCCCCCCGATAACAAAAAATAAAACGTACCTTCCACTATTAGTTCATTTTTTCTCTTCAAAACTGAATTTATTTCAAGCTTTCTACCAATTTATGAAGAATGAGAAGCAAAGTTAATCATGGACTTAAACAATAACCTTAGAAAAATGCATGCATCACATCATAGTTGTTTGATTCAAGCCTCAGTTTGTAGACATCTGTCTAGAATGTTACTGTAAAAATTGGATTGAAAAAATCTGTACATTGTACAACAATAACGGCATAAATTGTAGGAATCATGGCTGAGACACAGCTCACTAGTTGTGAAGCACATTGTACATATTCCAGTAAATTTGACAATGATACACAGAAGGCAATGTCTACACTATTCACTATAGTGATCCTTAGAACATTGAATGTTACCATGACAAGGTTTTTTTTTAGCAAGATAGAAGTTTCTAATGTTATTAATTGTATATTTCATATATAAGCAGTTCGCATTAACTTAAAAAAAGTTAAAGTAATTCATTAAGGATTTTTTTCATATTCTAGACCTGATACATTTTAATTTAATAAAAATGAAAAGATAATTTATTAATTACTTAAAATAAATTAAAATATTACTTGTGTTCTTAGGAGGTAAGTCAGTATGTAAAACATTATTGAACTAAATTAAATTCACTTTGACAGTTCTTTAGCTATCGTTTTGAGAGCCTCCGTTTGCTCCTTTAATAATTTTAATTTCTGCCTTAAGTACTCTTTTTTGAAATTAAGATAATCACCTTTTAACTCTAATTTTCTCTGCTCTTGTGCAGCTAACATATCACAGTTTAAATAACAATTACTTGCATGTTTTGAGGACTGTTTGGAATTATTTTTTAGTTTAGTTGACTTGCGTTCTGTAGAAAGACAGACTTTTTCATCTGCTAAGGACTCTGGTTCACTTAATGATGCAATTGAAATATCATCAGTTAGTCTTTCATTATTAATGTCCTCTTCTAGTGTAAATTCTGATGCACTTTTAATTCCTAAAGCTTCTTGTTCTGCTTCTGTGAGAATTAAGGTGGATCGGCCTATTTCTCCATTAGTCTCCGCATGCCTCTTTTTAGTTTTCGAACGCAAATCATGCCATGTCTGAAAATAAAAATAATGAGGATTTTGCATTGTGCGCTAAATTTTAAATGTTTAAAAGTTTATAGTAAAATCTTAAAAAAAAAAACAGGTTTCCTATGTTTTTAATATACTTTAAGTATCCCTTGACTTTTTAAAATTATTTTAAATCATGGCAGTGCATACTTTTCTCCATTGCCTCCAAGTTTTTTTAGCTCCCGGTATAGCATTGCATTCATTAGCAATATTTTGCCAAATCTTCTGTGAATCTTTGTAATTAAAGTCGTTGGTCACTTTGCAAGATATTAATTCTGGGTGCTTCGTCATTAATTCTATGAGCTTCTTCTTTTGACGAGCGGACACATAAATACACCTTTGTCTTTCCCTACGTTCCATTACTAAAGAATAAAGATCACCAGAGAATACCAAAACATTGATATTATTAAGTTAAGACGTAGTGATTATATTCTCTTTGATTGAGTTTGTGTTTGGTCTAATTATAGACTGGAAACCTAATTGAGCTTGAGTTTGAGTCGGAACTTCTGAAATTCTGAAACTTCTGATTTTGGTCTTTCTCTTTTGTAATCTGTATATTTGTAATTTGTCTGAAAGTCTGAAACTGTGCGACGAGTCACGAAACTTCATACTAGGGAATAGGGATGTAAAATAAAAAATAATAAATTTTCATAATAATCTATTATTTTTATTCGTATAATCTATAATGAGAAACGATTTTTTCAATAATAAAAATTGTTTAATAATCGTAAAATTAATTTTAAGAGAAATTGATAAAATTAAAATCGTTATATTAATTAAAATAGTTTTTGAACAGATTTGATTCTTAAAAAATGAAAAATGGCATTGAATATTGTGGCAAACATTATTTTAGTTTTTTTATTGTTTAAAGTCTAAAATTTCAACAAAAATAGTTGTTTTGTATTTTAGTTATGAAACCTGAAGGTTTTCATTTTAGTTATTTTTTATACTAATTTTAATTGACTTTGATACTGATAAATTATTAATACGATACTAATCTTTTAGTTTTATTGCTATACAGGCACTTTTCAAACCATCATCATCATTTAAGCCTATTCGAATCCACTGCTGAACATAGGCCTCCCCCACAGACTGCCACGAAGCACGATTCTGAGCTACCTGTATCCATCGACTTCCCACACACCTGCACAGGTCGTCACTCCATCTAGTGGGGGTTTGTCTTACACTGCGATGGCCAGTACGAGGCTGCCACTCGAGAACCTTTCTTCTCTACTAGTCATATGGCTGGCCCATCGCCTCTTCATATCATAACCTACTGAACCATATCGGTTACCGTTGTTCTACTGCGGATGTCTTGGTTGCGAAAACTATCGCGCAGATAAATACCGAGCATAACCCGCTTCATAGCACGCTGAGATTTTGATTTTATTATATTTTTCGAATAATAGGAAAGAGTAATAATGAAGAATACAGAAGAAATAATCGATTTTTAATAAATCGATTATTTTCCCTCAATGTCACATCCTTAGACGAAACTGTTGTGACAGATGTAATCTATGTTGCTATTCCTGACATAATTCCGAGCAAGCCATTGGGTACTCTAGCACCCCGGTCCCCTATAGTATCATGTATTCTGCCCATTTCTTTATTATTACTTTACTCTATGATTCTGCCTAATCACAAAGTCACAGTTACAGAAAATTATGCATAAGTATGTATATTTCACATTCTATCAGTGGTGTCATAATCAGACAAAAAATAACAAGTTCAGTTCAAACAACTAAGACATTTTTTTTCTTTGTTTTTCTTTTAAAAAAAAATATTGTCGTTACTTTAACATAACATTCAACTTGAAATTAGAAAATTTTAGGAAATTTAATTGAAAATATTTAGTTTCCTTTTATTTAATTTTGAAACTGTTTACTGTATTTTCAGTTTACATAGTAAGTTTTTGCAAGATTAAATTTTAAAGTGCTTAATGTTTAATGTATATTCTGTGATCAAAATTAGCATTGTAACAGTAGAATATATACTCTTTGGTGAATTGTCAATGGTCATTCGATTATTAGTTGTAAAAAGAGAAGGGTGTAGCTAAGCTAAGTAATTACGGCATTTTGTGTCGACTCCATTAAAATACGTCTACCGTGTAATTATGATATGACAAAATACTTATTTTAAATATAACTGTGATTACTAGTGCTGCGCAATGGCTGACGGCGGTTTAAGCTTTTTGCGAAAATCTCTACCGTTCTTGGGATACCTGTTTTTAATACACATCGCAGAATACGTAAGTATTTAGGAATAATCATTATACATCATTGTTCCGCGCTAATTACTCTCATGAGTAAACCAGATGAAGCATTTGTCTGCTTTTATCGTGGCGTATGGAAACGAAATATGATTTACGCTTACCTACATTCACCTTGCCGAATTGTTTTTGACAGAGAAGGTCTCCTTATTCGTGGGAATAATAAAACAAAGATGTTTGTATTATTTAAATTCGAAGCGAACTCTTGAATGATTTTAAAAGATAAATATGTATACCGTTATTACGTATTACGGGCTTCAGCGCTGTATTTATTATGCTACGCCATAAAAATATTCAGAAATTATTTTTTTCTTGGTAGACATTCACTTTTCACATTTGGTAAAAAAAAATTAACAATTGTCTTGCATCCGTTTACAAAACATAGTATAAACAGTAACATGTAATCCAGGCTTTTTCCTGATTTCACCCTGTGCTAATCAGCTGTCAAATGGATTTTCAAATGTTGTATGAGTTGCCAAAAGGATTGTTAAATTCTCTGAATTGATCCAATGATCTTAATGATTAATAGTAAGATCTAGATAAATATTTTGAAGTTTTAATAGATCATACTGTATCCATTTACAAATTTTACCTAAACTAGTTGACCATGCAAAATGTTTGCAGAATGCTGTGATCATGTCAGCAAATGGATAACACAATTAGCAAATAATTTTTATTTCATAACTGTTTATAAATTTTAAATATTTTAATTATTTGCTAAAATATTTTAAAGAAAATTAGTGACTTTGATTTAAACAAATTGTTAACAGAACATATCATATATTCATATATTCATAAATTTGTTATAAAAGATTTTAAGTATTTTTTATGAAAACATATAACTTTAATTTAAATTTGCCTATATTCATCAATGGTGGCAAACATGATTTCTGTGAATCGTGTTTGATAAATAAATTAATTGTGTTTGATGAATAAATTTTACGAAGAATTATGGAAGTTTTTGTGTGCTAACACTTTCCTTGGGAAATAATTTCATTGTTGTGTGTAAGGGAAAAATGTATAAAGATTGTGTGTAAATAACACAATCTTTATACATTGTCCACTTATAGTAAGATTTGGTAGCAGAGGGTTCTGGCTAGCCCACTGGTTCTGCTTCAGATGAAGCTTTAATAGTCTTGGGACTGAAAGCAAAAACATCAGTTAATACAAGAAGATTAGGTCATAGTATATAGTGTCCAAAAAGTTATACAATTTTCTAATTAGCCTAAGGCAAAAGTATGCACAGTTTAAAGCTCAAACTTCCAAGATAGTTTTTTAATATGTAAATAGCAAGATTTTTATAATTATACTAGCGGACCGGACAGACATTGTCCTGTAAACTTAAATTTTTACCAATCCGTCAACAATTTATAAAAAAAATATGTTGTGGACTGAATAGTGGATCTAAACAATTTTCGAATCGACCTGAAGAAACACAAAATTTCATTTAATCGGTCATGCCATTTAGGAGTTCAGTGACAAACATGTACAGAAGAATTATTTAAGTATATAAAGATAAAAAGAGAAATACTTTTGTTTACAGAGACATGCTGTTCCTTTTCTGTATTGCCATTAAAATAAATAACAATAAACTCCTAAAACAAGCATTTCCATAATTTCATAATATGTGTTATAATGGAAAAAAAAAGTACATAGTCTTGTTTTTTAGATCCATATAAAGTTATTTAAAAACAAACAATTATTGTGATATTCATAATTTAACAGGTTTATTTAAATGTAATTTTTTATATGAAATTAATTGTAAGTATTATTGATACATTTTATTAATGAATGATTTGTATAAGTAAATTAATTACATATCTAGACAACATGGTTACATTGAAGTCTTAAATGAAACAATTTAATACCTATCACACAGATTAGATGCACATCACAGGTTACCATTTTTTACTATTGTTACCTTCAATTGTTTCTGCCAAATAGGAGTACACATACTTAGATTTACAGCAACAATGAAGTAACATGCACACATTTTTATGTATGTTACTTGCAGGAACAAACTTTGAAAATGCTCTATAATTTTAATAACTTTTAAGCAGTCATTTATGAGATTTATAAGATTTTTCTGTTGTTGTATATAGGGATGAAACAAAATGTGTAAAAATAAGTACTAATATTGATACTTACATCCGATACCAAGTACTTTTTGTATTGATAATAATTTTTAAAAGTACTTCTATTGACTTTAATTAAAAAACCTTTATGAATTTAACACTCATATTTTCAGCCGTAATATGCGCGAATATATACAACATTTCACAATTAGCAACACTTAATGACCGATAATGTATCGAGTAAAAATATTGAAACCTCATTGGTATTGTTTCATCTATAGTTGTATACTAATGCAAATACAACACTAAAGTTTGTTTTTACTTGTCCAGTAAGTCACGAGGTTATATTGAAAAAAAGTGTTTTATAAGCTTATCAGGTAACAGGATGTACATCAAACTTTTTTAATTGCAATTAATATTTAAAGAATGTTACATTCCATAAAAATATGTGAACAATTTTGGACGGCATTCTCCTATCCTACCCTCATCCACGTCAATGAGCGATTCATCTGCAGCAATTAAAACTAATTGAAACCAATAACGTATATATCTACAATTGGTTCTAGATGTTAAGAGACGTCTGATCGTTATTGACGCATTCGCTGTGCGTTGGTTTAAATGGGACAAATTGACGCTAGTTCGAATATGCGTATGGTGATTATTATTCGGTCGATTTGGTTTTTTTTGTGTCGTCTGGCAAACCAATTTTCGTGTTAGTAGACTAGTTAATAATAAAGTTAGCTTTATACATTGCGTCGATTCTGATAATTAACATCTGTTATTACATTGACACTCCCCTGATATCTATCTGATCAAGTCGCCTTTTCTAGATTTTTCCATCGTACGTTCATCAAAATGTCTTTATGAAGTCTGTTCAGCACAGACAAACTAGCTGATGGAGGGAGAAGCATTTTGTTTTGTTAATGCTATGATCACACAGAGTAAAGAATGAAGCCTGTATTGAAAGTTACAATCGGACACGTCGTATTATTTTAGGATGGCGAAGTGTTACATGAAGGTTGACGGCGTTGAGTTGATATTTTTCGGCAATCTGTGAACAACACAAACAATTCAAAATCACGAAGGGAGCTAATGCGAAAAGAAGATTTAAAATCGGTTCTTAAATGTCAAAGTTCTGAGGTAGAGAACATTAAATGTCAACAAGTTATAAATGCAAAATTGAACCTCGTAATGAACGCTTCGGGCTCATGAAAGCAAAGGGTTTATTTGGTGAACACATGTTTTCAGGGGCGCGACCTTCTACAAGTTGGGCGCTCACCCTGAACGGTGCGGCAAAATAGTGATCGATATGTTCCGTTTGCTGCCTTTTAAACACGCTAGGTTACCTTGCACTGTAACTCGCGCAGTTTAAATTTTGCTTTTAATTAATTAATGTCTTAAAAAGATGACTCGGTGGCGTCGTTGCTAAGCTTATTGGCTTCGGCGTCGGGAGTCGTTGGTTCGATTCCCACGAGGGACAAGTATTTGTGTGAAGTTTTCCGGACAAAACAAAACAAACACCCAGTGTGTTTGTTTCCCAAGGATGGTTGAGGTCAGGCAGGCGGCTGGTGGTAAAAACGTAGTCAACGTAACCGCTTGCAACATGTTTCACATGTTTTTCGGACACCACCTATGTGGGATAAGGGCCGGAGGATGATGAATTGGTGAACTACAGACGAATTGCACAGAAAAAATTGACGTTGCTCTTGTCGCGAGGAGTTTAACATTTAGCGCATCGATGGGTCATTGACCTCGATCGTGTCCTTCCAAAGCGAACTCCTCTCGGAAGAGAGGAAAGGACGCATATCGTAAAGGTCGTCGTTATTGAGGAAATAGTATGGATGGCAATCGAAGGCACTGCTTGCCTGGCGGCTGGGGTACAGCGGTAGCTGGTTCTAATTGCGATGACTTGTTTCGGTAGTTTTTTTTTTTTTCTAAATTGGTGTGAAAGTCACAGTCTCTCGTTACTGTTCGGTGACAAGCTCATCGACTGTGACATTTGACACATGATAACTTTGGTGAGAAGTAGTTAATGCTGCATAACCCGTTAGTTTAATAAGCCTCTTTCAATTTCACTACGCAATTATATATGACGTTATTATTTTATCTGCATAACAAAACTGAAAAATAGTTTCCATATTTTCCATCTTTAGCATAAATACACGGCCTTTTCGTTCACTGGCCGTTTATTTTTGAAAAGGTTTTTACTTGAACCTGATCCCAATTATATTTTAACAAGCTAAAAAGTTGTAAAGGTTGTTGGGTAAAGATTAAAATGGTAGCGTAAAAAGCGGACTGAACCTTGAGCTAGGCTTACTTGTACTCGTGAGGGGTACTTTTAAGATTACCCCAAACGATAATTACTGAAGGAAAATCCTACCTACTTAAAATGTATTATCGTCTGCCTGCTGTTTATTAATAGATAGGAGGAAATTGGGCGGAGTAGAAACAGAAGAACTGTGATTCCTATCACAGTTCCACGCAACAGTCCTCGCTGTTGCACGAATGGGTAGGTCCGTTTGGGTAAAGACCACGAACTCACAGAAGACCGGCGCGAAGTGGAAGTAGTTTTGCGTTTCGTGTGGTGAGTGAGATAGCCAGGGTCCACTTTATTAAAAGGTGGCAAAGCAACGAGTGTTGCAAATGTCAATGGGCGGCGGCTGTAACTTAACATTAGGTGACTGGCGGTTGGTTCACCGTCACAAAAGCCGTAAAATTCCCAGTCGGCTTTGATCGTTTCGGGGCCGCTTTACCGTCTGGCGAAGCACTTGCTCAATTTCCATTATAATATTGAATGGCGCAGTTGCCAAGCCACCGGTTTCGGCGTCGGGGTCATGGATTCGCCTCCCGACAGCATTTGTGTGAATCACAGATAATTTTCCGGTTTTGCGTGTTTGTGTCCAA